GAAATTTCAACCATATGACCTTCTTTTTTGAACAAGAATAATCCTTCCATTTTCAGCCTCAATTCCATCTTTAACTCTAGGATATTCATTGATGTGATTCTTAATCACATGAAGGCTTCTCGAGAGAAATCATTTGATAGCCCCACGGTGGGCGCCAATTGAAAAGGTGATTTTTGACCGAACTGGTAACTTCGGGTTACTGGTGGGCCCTTCTGCATAGAGAGACCACCTCGCCTGGATCACCTGCGTAAATAGAGGGGCTGGGTCCCTCGGTGTAACTCCGAAACTTAAGTTAGTTCGGGATGGGATATTAATATATCAGACTTGATGGAAGTTGAGGTTACTTTACCAAGGATTCATCCCCTTTCTCCGTGGGATCTTCTGCTATTTATAAGGGACACTCAGGAGAGAGACTGTAAGTCCAGGTCCCTAGAAATCCGATGTAGACAGCGTATCACGCTGACTCTGACCGCTGTGCCAAAGACAGCGTGTCAGAGCAGCGTGTCAGAGCCAGTGTCAGATCAGTATGTCAGAGGTCACCTCTAATACCTCTCCAGCTATAAGCTTCTTCGGTATCACCTCGGCGATGAGAACGATGGCTTCATCCGGGGTGATAGCACCAGGTATTCAGCTCGTCGGGTCAGGTTGAAGCTACGGGATCCCCGGGCCGAGCTGATCATCCTCACTAAGCCCCCCAAGCTTCGGGAAAAGGGACTGGCTCGCTGCTTCCCAAGGCTTACGAGTGATTCCAGGACGCGAACCACAGCGATGACACGTCATATACGCGCGGATGGGACTGGAAGGGAGATGAAAAGATAGCTGGCAGCTTTTAATGATAGGTTTATGGAGAGACGCGAGATCACCTGTCAGAATCTTTAATTAATGAGGAGAGAGGGCATTTCCTTGGGTATCCCAAAGGTGCCACCTCTTCAGTCCCCTGCTGGCCTATAAATAAGGGGTACCTTTCACCCTGTTATTTTTTTACCGTAAAAGTTTTTAATCACCTTAGAGCAAATCTTCGCCATATCTTCACCTCGGCAATTCCCAAAATCCCAATTGGCTTTAAGAGTAAGTTTCACTTCTTTTCCTTTACGTATGGCTAGAACAGCTTGCACACACAAGGAGACGGTGAGGCCAAGTTTCCTCGAGGCAGAGAGGCCCGACCCTACCGAAGAGGCTACCGGAGTGTCTCACCAGACCGGGACACATCAAGAAGACAGCGAAGGAGAGACCGAGGTCCTTTACAACGACGATCTTAGCAATGAGATACCAAGGGACAACGGGGTGCAGGAACCAGCCATCCCTCAAGACCTATCAGCTATTGACTACGGCCAGGTCCCCTTGTTCAGCAGCATCATGGGCCAGACGTTGATAACCGAACTAGTTCGCAAGTACCCTTGGAGGAGTAGTTGACTTTCCACCCCTAAAAAGAACAATTAATTAAAGCAACACTAAAATTTAAAAAAATATTTTAATGTAAAATAATTGATTGTACCCAAAAAAAAGAACAAGAATAAGAACGGTAAAAAATTTGTATTCTTAATTAATTCTTTTTACCTTTTTATTTTTTTAAAGAATGACATTTTCTATTTTTTGTTATTTTTTATTATCGAAAAAATAATTACCAACAATTGTTGGCTATCTATTTTACATATTTGTACAAGCTTTTATCCATCATAATCTGCTTAGGATCCTATTTGATCAATCATTTATGTATATATGGTTGTAAAAATGCATATTTCTTTCCCTACAATAGTTCAAAGCCGTAGTTTCAATTGCAGTAGCCATCATCACCGTTCCATATTGGTCGTGATAAAATCATCATAGTTGTGGTAGGACACAAGTTCCTTGTAAAAGTGGTGGCGCTCATTGGTATAGATGGCCTTGATTTTGACTTGGGAGTTTTTTCTAGAACACAAGTTCAAATATTGCAATTTGCAATTAATAAATGGGTATAGATTTTAATTTTTAGTCATTTATTTGAATACTTGTACTTTTTTTTGTATACTTTAAGTATAACTTTAGTATGTCCAAAATAGGAATTGGCCCCTTTTGTATAAGATTATTCTGTTAATTGGATGTCATGTTCCTCACTGTCGATAAGGCTGCTTTAATGGAAGGTGTAAGATGATATATAGGAAAATCGTTCAAAATGTTTTTCACATTTTGAAAATGAATTTTTTTCATCCTTCACTTTTAAAATGTTAATTTTACATCCTTTACAATTCAAGTTAGCAAAATTTTGTCTCAATTTAAGTTTCTGACCACTTTTTAGTTTGAAATTACCATATGACCCACATGTAGTCATGTTTTATGTACAAAAAGATCAAATCTCACTTTTTTAAAGGCAAAAATGAATATGAATTAAATAAGATCCCACTTATTAGAAGAAAAATGAATATGATTTAGGTCAATTCCTACTCTTTTCGGGGTAAAACGATTATGGATTGGATCATTTGTTTAACTACAAATGAGATTTAACCATTTTGCCCTGAAAAAATGACATGTTTTAGTTATGTGATGGTTTTAGGATAAAAAGTGGTCAAAAGCCTAGGCTGTGACTAAATGTTATTGATTTGACCGCATTATCAACTTTTAAATTTTAATTAAAGAACTATATTGATTAAGTTTATAAAAGTTTAAAATAAAATTAATGCATTATCTATACTATATGTAAAGGCTGAGGAAAGGATTTTGGATTAACATTGGGGTTAATATTTATCGTCACTTTATGAACTTCTATTTTTACCCTTATAAAACTATTTTTACTTTAACTACTTATAACTACCCATGACTATTTTTACTTTTAAGTATATGTTTTCAACATAACTACCAATATAAAATTATTTTATGAAAAATATTTAAAAGATTAAAGTTTACTTCAATAACAAAAATTTTATTTAAAATATATGACCATAAATATTATATACTTTTTGGGATGTGCATTAAGCACTAGTGACAATTAAGAGTCTACAAGAAGAAAGGGTTAAATTTAGGATGCGATTGTATTCTCCTGTCTTGTTAAATATTATATTTTGCATTGAGTTACAAAAGTTAGAAAAAAGGTTAATTACAATTTAGTCCCTCAAGGTATACCCTATTTTTCACTTTACCTGCTAACCTTTAATTTTTATCACTTAATCCCTTTTAGGACAAAATTACCCTTCATTATTTTGACTTTTCATTTATCTTTTTTCCTTTCATCTTTTTTTTCCTTCCTTTATTCCTTTTTCTCTTTCTTCTCTCTTCCATCCTTCCTATTAGACAACTTCATTTCAACATAAAAACTTTGTCTAAAGTTTGTACTTAGGTTTATGGATGAAACTTGGAAAGGCATTAAAAGCTAATTTCAATCTTTTATACGATGATATGTGTTGCAAAATTACAATTAATGATCATTATTCAGGTCGCAAATTCATCTTGTGATTCTTTTTGAAAATAAAATGAGAAATTGGGATGGGAAGGAGAAAAAGCAAAAGAATTTTAAAAAAAGGTATTTTGGGAGGGATTTGAATATTTTGTGATCATTTGAGGGAAACATAGATCTTTGCAATTCCTCTTTAGCTTCAATCACTAAGTTGAAGTTTCTTGTGTGAAAGAGGAAAGTAAAGAAAGAAAAACGAGATAGAAACAATAAAAGAGGGAAAAAGGGGAAAGAAAAAAAATACAAAAGAGAGAAAAAAAAGAATTTAGAATAGTAGAAGGGTGATTTTGTTAAATAAGGGTTAAAGTGAGACAAAAAAAAAAAGAGTTAGGAAGTAAAGTCACGGAATTATTCCTTGTTTTTTAAACGAATGCTTTATTTCAGTTTTAAGAAAAAAAGAGGTTCCAAAGTAGTGAAAAAAAATCTTAATTTATAAAAGTTACTAATTTGAGTTTGTGACAACTTGTAAAATACATATGCTTGTGACGAGTAGGATAAATCACAAAAAATATGTGATTAATATGTGATAAATAACAAAAAATACACCTTAAGAGGATTAATTGTGATTAACATTCTAAAAAAATGTTGAAAATAATAGAGGTAAGCGAGAATTTTTGAAATTGCCACCATCTATATCGAAAATAAAACTTGAGTTTGTAATAATTTATAAAATACATATGCTTGTTACAAGCAGAATAAATCACAAAAAATATGTGATTAATTGTGATTAATATGTGATAAATCACAAAGAAATACACGTTTTGCTATGTAAAAAAAAACACAAAAAATACACCTTAAGAGGATTAATTGTGATTAACACTCCACAAAATACCAAAAATAATAGAGGGAAGCGATATTTTTTTTAAATTGCCACCATCTATACTGAAAATAAATAGGGGCAAGTGAACCTTTTGCAATTGTCACCATCTATAGCCATTGACATTAATTGTCTGAGTTCTATAGTCATCTCCTCCCTCGAGTCCGCTTTCATCCTTAATTGTCTGAGTTCCTGCCTCTCTCTTCTCTCCAAATTTCACCACTGCCTGCTACGGATTGGATACCCATTTTATGCATCATTTGATTGACTCAATCCATACCTTACAGAATCATTATCTGACCCTTATCCGTCTAGCATATAAATGAATATTCTATTATTGAATATTTATCTGACCCTGTTCTGTCCCATTTATCATTTAATTTTTTTTAAAAAAATTTATATTAAGTTAATTTTGTATTTTATATATTCATCTAAGATTTACTAAAGATTTTTTCTCCAAAAAAGTCTTCCACCAAGAAATAAACAAGCGAGGAGAATACAAGAAAAATGAAAAAAATTAAAAGAAATCAAAATCAATAAAAATTTAAAATAAGTAGCACCTTTTTAATTATATATTTCACATTAGTTAAACTTTTTTCTAATTTATAACTTTTACAAATGAATCTTATAAACAAACTATAATCTCTTGTATTGTAATGCAATTTATTCAATAAAATTATTTATTTACCTCTAAAAATATTATTTTATACCATGTACATAAAACTAAAAATATAAAAAAAAAATATTTACGAGACGTGTCGGTACCTGCGAATTTTTGATTACGTGATTGTAATTCGTCCCGCGTCTAAATAGGTACCTGATCGTCTTTCGATCCGATCAAATAGTATGGTTCGAGTATTTTGGATAGGATCGAATCCGTACGATGAGTTTTCGGATTAGTCGGCATTTTTGCCCGCCCCTAACCACCAGTCGTGCATATGGTATGAAAGCCTCCTCGTCTTCTTCGCCTTTGCATTTTGCCACGCACTTGCTGTTTACTGAAGAGTGTTCAAAAGGAGAATTTTGGGTTAAATATTGATTTGTTATTTCTGTCTTTCTGTGCAATTTCTCATAAATCGGATATGGTTAAGGATTTTTTTTAAATTTATTTGTTCATACCCTAAAAGTCTCTGAAAATCATGCTGAAACCCTCCGTTCATGGACATCTGATGACTCAATACGGGTAGACTCGGCCGCTCTTTCGAGTCCCGGAGTCGACTCGGTCCGAATCTTCCGAGTCTGAACGAGTTTCCACCGGGTCTACCGTCTCCGGTATATGACGGACCAGTTGCGGAAGTTGCGGTGAGAATTCAGCCCGGTCGAGTCCACTGGGACTCGACCGAGTCTTTGATTCAGTTATATTCTCAACTGTTTCAACTTTTAATTGTCGTGTCGTGTCGTGTCCTTGCGTTTGCATTGTGCAACCCAAAGTTGAGATAAAGGGAAATGGATGTCTCCTTCATTTAGGTTCCTTTGGTGAGTGAAACAGTATTGTAAGGATTATGAAACCGTATCATTCGATGATTCGTCGACTGGTTCCTTTCTTCTCAACTCGGATTCGAGAAAACCACCTGAGACTCCTCAGTTCGACATTGGCATCATCCTCTGCTCTCCACGAACAACCTCCTCTGCAGTCTTCGCATTCCCAATCTCAATCTATAGTTGCGGTTCACATGACCGACAATTGCGTCCAGGTGCTCCATTTTATTCTATTTAGTTTGCAATTAGAAAACGTGTAACCCATTTTTTTTTTCTGTTTTCGTTTTCCCTTTACGATGTAACTTTGATTTTTAATTGTTTCATTTCACAACCTACTCTTTCAATTCGGATATTGATATTGAGTGATTGTCTAAAATGATATTCGGTTCATAGTTTGTTGAAATTCTACTGAATAATATGCAAATATTTTTAGTTTTGGATTAGTAATTTAAATAATTAAAGGGAACGAGGCAACTTCTGAGGCAATAAAACTATGTCCATTTATATTGTCATCTTTTCTTTTGGATCTTAGAAGATGAGTGATGACAAAATAATTTGGCTTGCTAACTAAGAATTTCTTTTAGCCTGCTTTCCAAAGTTATGTACTACTGTACCATATTTCTTTTAAAGGCACTTTCTAAAGTTTGCATGAAATGGTCCTGTTGTGGTGAGCTTTGCTTCCATTTGGTATTTCTTGTAGTTTGAGAGATGAACCAAACTTCTCCAGGCTCAACTCCAGCTTGGCTTGATTAGAGCTTGCTTGAGCTATTGGTTCATTAATTGATTCACCAAGGGCGATAGATTTGAGTGTTTGTTTACTTGGTGAGCTAGGGTCAATAAGCATATAACTTGAAATCTACATGCGAGTAAGTCAAGTTACTTAACTTTGAATTTAGCTCATTTGAATAAAAGCTCATTTTATCTTGGCTAATCAAGCCAAAAGTTGAATGCAATTTTAGGCTCAGTTAATCTCCAACAGCATCCAACCCCCCTTCTCCCTCCATCCCCTCCTCCCCCAAAAAAAGGTAAAAGAAAAAGTGAAAAGAAGAGAAAATTTACATTGTTGAGTTCATTGTAGTTAGTCTGTTACTCTGATTGTTTGATGTGCTTTTACTAGTTTCACATATTAACTGTTTGTTGACTAGATTTGGTTATGTCACTGTTTCCTACAGAGAATGAGGGAACTGCAATCTCAGGAAGGCAAGGAAAAGATGCTAAGATTGAGCATAGAAGCCGGTGGCTGTTCCGGTTTTCAGTATAACTTCTCTCTTGATGATAAGTGCAATGATGATGACAGGTTCGCGTGATTTTCCACTTGAATAAGTTCCCAACTGTGGATTATTGCTTTTTTTCATTTGATATTTTCAACTATTTTGTGGTTTAGTCATTCACATTCTTGCCTCCTATTCTTTGACCTTGCAGAATATTTGAGCGGGAAGGAGTCAAATTGGTAGTTGATAAAATATCTCTTGATTTTGTAAAGGGTGCAACTGTTGATTATGTTGAAGAGCTTATCCGTTCAGCTTTCCAGGTCTGTTGTTGCATATTATTAGTTCTGCAACATGAAGTATTTTTCTGTTGCATATATAAGCTGCTGAGTAGTAATTGATTTTCTGGAGATAGGACTTCTGCTTTACATTTCGCTTTGCCCTACCGGTACTATAGTTGACAGGGGAAAATGTTAAGTCCTAAAAAACAAAGGGCATCTTTTTCCCAAATTAACCTTGCTGCAGTGTTTCTTGGATAATTTTATTATGAAGGGCAAAAAATAGTTTAAGCTTCGGAGTTGCAAATAGTCAAGAAGTTTGTGACTCTCGATTGTGGATTAGAAACAAACTGGTTTGACTGACCGGAGTAAGCAAATTGTAAAGAATGGTTTAAGCCTATATCTCTGCTTTGGTGTGCAGTGAGTAATTTAAGCCTTAAATTTAAGGTTCTTTGGGATGATTTATGAGACATTCTACACCAATAAAAAGTCGAAAACAAATAATTGACTGACTTAGCCTGACCAAACAACATTGTTACATAGAACTTTCATCTTTGAGTTCATGAACAAAGTACTTTCTCACTCTCCTGATGTATTAGGTGATGTGCTTTCATCAACATTACATTTTAAAGATAATTGACCAACATGATTCCTTTATATGGGGCAGGCTTCTTCCAGTTTCAGTTTTTAGATCTAGAATGCTTCATGTACATGTTGAATTTACTTAATACTGTGTTCTATCTGCCTTTTTTGGATTAACGGATTGTAGATTCTGGTTATAAATGCCTTTATTGGTTACTATACAGGATTCTGGTCCATAAAGCAGCAACAAGGTTTTTTTGGTATGCAGGTATCTACAAACCCAATTGCTGTGGGTGGCTGCAGCTGTAAAAGTTCCTTTGTGGTGTAGTAGTTCTCTGACATTTGTTTTGTTTCACTATTCAGCTTGAGTCAAGAGGTTATTTTCATTCTCCTTTTGGTCCTGAATCTATGCTACATTTTTTTCTGTGCTCCATTTATTGACTCATAATCCTAATTAAATTCATTAATGTTGATTTGCTGTATGATTACCGTAAGCAGCAGTTTTAACTTTATATTTAAATTGGGGATACTATTCATGACCTGTTTCACTATATCTTTGACTCTTGATACAAAATCAGTACGGAAAAATGGGGGGCGGTGCACTGCAGGGGAAGAAAATGGTGTCCTTTTGGTTGAGGTGATTTCTGAAAATAAATGTATTTACTGAACTTGGAGCATTAATTGGAATTCCACCCAAAGTGTTTGGTATTCTGCCAATGTCAGAAAACAGTCAAAGATACTTGCTCTATGTGAGCTGTTAGGTATGGTGTGGTTATTCTGCTATTGCTACTTGATGTTCAGTTTTTCTGGTCATGCTTCATTTTATTTTTCCTTTGAAGAGTTAATCTCGTACAGAGATATGCCGTCTTACAACAAAAATTTTCTTTTGTTATCTAGGCTGCTCTTTTATTTATGTGTAGTAAATGCAGCCCTATTTGATGAAAATTAGGTAGGGCATTTTGTGTGTGTGTGTGTGTGTGTTTTTTTTCTTTAATTTCTAGGTAGCTTGGTATTTACAATTCCGCTATTGTCTCATCGAATTTTTGGGGTTTTATTATTTAAACTAGAAAGGTGGACATTATCAATGGACACTGGCACTGATTTGTAGTATGTCGCAAGGATGGAATCGCCTGGTATTGACCATTGAGTATTGGGGGCATCTTACAAATGTTTTTTGGTCCTCTTTTCGGGGAGAGTTGTTAAGCTGGATCCTTTGACATTTGAATCAACATTCAAAATTTTGGCTGCTTTAGTCTTGCTAACTGTTTGTGAATTTCACCTTTTTATGAGACCAAAATTCAACCTATGGCAAAAGGGAGATGCAAGTGTAATAAAGAGAAGTTGCAGCATAGATGTAATTTTACAGCTATTGTTGCAGCAAATAGTACTCCAACTCTGGGATTATAAAGGCAGCAAGATAACAAAATAGAAATACAAGTTTAGCAGCAAAAAGAGCAACTTAAAGAGGAAATTAGCAGAAAAATATTGTAGCTTATCATAACAAGTTCTAATGTTAGAAGACATTCTATAATTCACCAACATCATTTAACATATAGAATCAATATTATGGTTGCGATTGGAAGACGACAATCAGGATTTCAGAGCGAAAGGAATTCAAATAAGCTATATTTGCTTCCTATGTCTATTTGATGTGTTGGGTAATAGTAGTGCTAAAAATTCTGTCTTTTATTGCTGTAGTAAAAAAAATGCTATTATAAATGGCAATTTTGTTAATGATTGCCGTGATTCTTTTAATTTTTTTAATTTTCAAATTCATTTATTTTTTGTGCCAATTTTAGTTAATCAATTAGGAGTTTCCAATAGGGTAACATTGTCAATTAGGAGTGAAAAGGGGATGTAAAGATAGATATGGCCTTGGAAAAATCTGCCAAAGTTCCAGATGGCTTCTTCAGTGGTGGGTTCAGAATCTAAAAGCCACAATATTGATTCAATTGGCTTTGAGCAGGGGAGACCATAAAATCAAGAAGTATTTAAGTGTTAGGGTGCAATCTATACTAATTGAGGCCAATCTAGTCACTCATGAACTTGTTCGGTCAAATTTTGAGGTTAAAGTTGTATTGACGGAGTTCAGCATTTTATTCGAACAGTTCTAATAAAGTGACAACTTCAAACTCGAACCTAATATGTGAGGCAAAAATTTGTCAAGCTTAATTGAGTTCAATTGAGCTTCACGCATATATACTTGAATATTTTTAATATTTATTTGTATGAAATGTCTATCATAACCTTTGTTTAAAATTATATAAAGTATTCTTTGTTTATGGAATGTTTTGTATAAAACCATTGCTAAGTTCCTGGTGAATAGACTTAAGCCCCTCCTGAACTATTGCATTAGTAATTCTCAGGCAGCATTTGTACCCAATGGGCAAATATTAGATATTGTTATCATAGCTCGTGAGTATATTCACGGGCTTCATTCTAAGAGAGGGGAAAGGTGGAGGGGGGCAGGGGAGATGTCTCAGGCAGCATTTGTACCCAATGGGCAAATATTAGATATTGTTATCACAGCTCATGAGTATATTCACGGGCTTCATTCTAAGAGAGGGGAAAGGTGGAGGGGGGCAGGGGAGATGGCTATATGGCCCTTAAATTAGAAGTGTCTAAAGCCTATGATAGAGTTGAGTGAAAATTTTTGTATGTCGTGCTTAGCAAAATGGGCTTCTGTCCACTCTGTATCAAATGGATTCATGGCTGTCTTTCTTCTGTGTCTTACTTCTTCAATATAAATGCTGTTCAATCTGGTTACATTTGCCTTTCTAGAGCCATTAGGCAAGGGCACCCTCCATTTTCTTATCTCTTTGTGTTTTGTGCTGAGGGTCTTTCTAACCTCATTAACAATGCTGTCGACAATAATAAGCTTACTCGAGTGAAAATTTCTAGTCGAAATATACCCCCGTATCTCATTTATTTTTTGCTGCCAACTCTTGGATCTTTTGCAAAGCTAAGCAAGACCTACAATGCTATGAGCAAGCCTTTGGCCAACAGATCAATATTGGCAAATCTGCTGTCTTTTTCAGCAAGAATACCAGTCCTAGAAATGTGGAGGATGTGATGCACCAGTTAGGAGGAATACAATATGCAACACAAACGAAATACCTAAGCCAATGGTAATTGGTAGATCCAAGAACAGTGTGTTCAGATTCATAAAGGATAACACGAGTGCCCGGGTCCAGAATGGGAAAGGTAAACTGCGTAGCAATGTTGGTAAGGAGGTTCTCCTGAAATCTCTTGCTCTTCCCTCTTATGCTATGTCATTAGTCAAATTATCTGATAACCTCTGCAAAGTTCTTATTGGAATTATGGCTAAATTTTGGTGGGGAAATGACCAAGGGCAAAGGAGAATGCATTGGATAAAATGGTATGATCTCTCTGAAATCAAAGGTAAAGGTGGATTCGGTTTTAGGGTAATACAATGTTTTAATGTTGCCTAGCTGGCACCTATCCAAACTTGTTGGTTAGCAAGGTGATAAAAGGCAAGTAATATCCTAAAACCTTCATTTTTGAGTCGAATGTTAAGGCTGGTGTCTCTTGGATGTGGCAAAGTTTACATCGCTTCTAAATATGCTGGAAAGTGGTGTTTGGAAACAGGTGGGAGATGGTAAATCTGACAACATATGGGGGGATAGGTGGGTAGGATATTCTAGCAATGGGAAGATCATCTAAGCTAGACCAAAAGACTGCCAACTAGTGATGGTTAATAGGTTGATTCAAGGATAGCAGTGGAATAGCAACCTGATCCGTTCTATGTTCTCAAAGGAAGAGGCTGAAGCTATCTTGCAAATTCATTCGAGCATCTTTGGGGAAAAAAGATAGGTGCAGATGGCAACACACAGCAAATGGATTCTGCTCAACCAAATCAGGTTATGCAAGGGGATAAGAGAGATGGAGAAATCATATGCCAACAAAGCACATGTGAACTCCAGCAGAAATAACGAGAAATCCAAAGTCTGGAATCAGTTGTGGGGGTTGAACATTAAGAGACAAAGTTAAGCATTTTCTGTGGAAGTGCCTCCACTACATTCTACCACTATGAGGAGATTTTTAGAAGAATAGGTAAAGGAGACCCAATGTGCAAATGCTGTGGTGAAGCCCCTGAAACATTGGAACATGCTTTACTCCTGTGCAAGGCAAGAGAATTTGCCTGGAACATGTTCCCCATTGTGTGGGATGGCATTAGTGAGCATAAATGGAACTTCTGGATATGGTGGGAATCCATGCAAGAAGCAAGATCAAGATTGGATGGTTAGGAACACATTGAACTCACTGCCAACTTCCTCTGGCAGCTATGAAAAACAATAAATGAGTGGTCCTTCAACCAGAAGCAAAAAGACAACCATCAAATTTCCAAGAAAGCTGTGGGAAACTGGATCGAATTCAAAGAGGTTTGATAGGATTGCAAACAATGCTGCTGAAGATCACAATCACGTGGATGACAGTCAAGGCATACTAGCTGATCTTCTTATGCAACATGCCACCACATGTACACTGACGCAGCCTTCAGTCAGAGTAACCCTCAATCTGGGATGGGAATTGTAGCGAAAGGAAGCAATGGCAACATTATCATAACTTGGTCCATACCATGTACATGTGCTAATGATGCAACAATACAAGAGGCTATTACCATCCGGACTTCTCTAAGCTATTGAGGAAAGCATGAAATATTTATTGATTCTTTCCGATTGTAAAGCTGTGGTGGAGAGAATCAATCAAAGCTGCAATGGGTTGTCCCCACTGGATGTGATCATTAACGACATCAGACAGCTTAGCCGATCGTTTTGGAAGTGTACTTTCTTTTAGTTTAAAAGAGAGATGAACTTGTGTAGACATGACTTAGCCAAATTGGCTATCTATCTTTTACATGAAACTTGGTGGAAGAGTCCTTTCTTATGTGGCTTAATAGAGAGGCCCATAAAGATTTCCTGACAGTTGCCCGTTTCCTACAAAGCTGCTGCGCAGTCTAACTAATCCTGTATCTATTGTTTATATATATCTAAAAGTTGATTTTTGACCCAAAAAAAAAAGACTAGGTTTACATTCTAATAGGCACTTTATCTCACTGTTGAACCTAGTATGTTGAAAGATTTTAGACAGAAATACCTTCCTTTCTTGTATAATTACAAAATAAAAAATTTGGATTCGCTCCTTTTTTCATCCTTTTAAATATGAAGAAAAAAGTCATAAGTGATTAATGGATTATCAATTTGTCATTGGATTCTCCCGCGGGCAACCTTCTCTACTAGTTCAAGGATTCACACATAAAATTTCACGAGTGATTTTCTATATGTTTTTTGGTTTCACGTTGGGGTGGTTTTTGTCTTTTTGACTAGGTGCTAATTAGGCATGTCAATGGACAGAATTTGAGTTGAATTCTTTGATCCAAATCCACCCATTTATTAATTTAATTAGATCCAGACCTAAATCCAAACTCTTATGGGTCCGAAAAAGAAAGTTCAGATCTAGATTCTCATGGGTACCCCAATAGATATCCATTGTATTTTTTTTAACATACCAAAGTAAAATTATATAGAGTTTAAAAATAATATAAATACCATTCAATTATTATTTTCAAATAATAAAATAAATATTCAAGAAGTTGAATACAATATTATGAACTCAAAAAATGAACTATTATTGACTGATTCTATTTATTTTCAAAATTTCAACTATATCCATTCCTAAACTTTTAATTGTTTGCCTTTGCTATTTTCCTTTTCCTAAAATAGTTTGTACCAATTACAATGACAACTAGAATTAGTTTCAAAAGAGAAAACAATCATAAAATCTTATAGTATTCGATCCAATGGTCATAGAATTTAGATTATTTTATAAATTTACTAATATATAAATATATGTGTGTGTGTATATATATATATACACATATACTATGTGTCTATCTATAATATATACATATACATTTATGTATGTATGTATATGTATATGTATATGTACATATATATATATATCTACATATATATATGTATATGTCTACGCAGTCCCTCACGACCCTCAAGAATCCTGCCATGTCCCTCATGTTTGCCATTTCTTCTGATGCCACACTCGCACTTCTTCGAATTAACTTATAGCCCTTCAAAATGCAGCATATCAACCAATCTTCTACAAAACGGGCGAATTGCGGAAGGAAGGCTGAAAGTCTCCGATTTCAGTTGCATTTATCCTCCTCTTCTCGTGCCACGTGTCTCGATTCTCATCGATCAAATTGGGGACACGTGGTAGCAATCGTGCCCCAGGCGGGATAATTTCGAATTTCAATTTTGAATTTGAATTCCAAATTGCAATAGTGGTCTCCTCTCCCCGATTCTTTTTCTATCCCATTCACTCGTGTGGGGGCCACCTTTGCAAAAGCCGCCCGTAGGCTTCGGCCACATGGCAAAAGGGTTCGACGCCCTACGTGCCGAGGTAGGCTCGCTTCTCGGGCCAAGGAAATTTGAATTCAAATTTCAAATTTTAATTTTTCCCTCCTTACCAGATCAAATCTAGACTGTCCATCTGACACGTGGAAGCCTTTCGACCGTCCACGTGTCCGCCCCGAACGTCTTTGTAATATTATAAGACGCTCGGGAAAGGGGCCTTAAAGGGGCTCATTATACAACCACTATCAATGTGCCACGTGTACTCAACCCAATCTACCTAATACAACAAATACTTTGCAATGGGTTGGGTGACGTCATCAGGTTGGGTTGGGTGACGTCATCTAGGTAGAGCTCCACACTGTGTGTCATTGACATCATTTCACTGAATCCCTAAGATTTCACCGGAAAACACAAACACTTCCTTCCCAGTTATCTTATCTTCATCAAGTGCAAGCACACGGGAGTAGTTCAATAGAAATACCATCTCTCTCCACTTCCTACTTCAATTCACAAGTAAGTTAGGGGAATTGTGCTCCGACGGTCTTCCACCCCATTCATGCTCTTTGTAATGGAGTTTCAATCACAATATCTAAGTGCAAAATAAATCGTCCATCCTAATAGATTATGATTCACGAGAGGACGATTATCTGAATTATGGATGCTTTCGGCCATAAGGCCGGAGCATATTCTCATCTAACAAATCAAAGGAGCTGTGTGCCGCTGTGCTTGCCGGGGAAGATAAGTGAATAGAAGTGCTTGCGATGAATTAGGGTTATCATTTTGTAGGCCACTTATACAGAGTCCCAACATATTCCTAATTTATTGATCAGATGGGCCAATCAAATGGTAACTGGGCCTCGCACCAGGCCCAATCCATCTACGACGAAAATATTCTCAACTTCTTGATCTATTGGGCCAATTAAAATTTGTCTGGGCCTCCTATTAGGCCCAATCCATTCTTGTCGAAAATATTATCAACTTCTTGATCCACTGAGCCAGTTAAATGTCAATTGGGCCTCGCATAAGGCCCAATCCATTCTTGTCGAAAATGTTCTCATTTTTTTTATCCAATGGGCCACTTAAAATGTATATGGGCCTCGCACCAGGCCCATTATCATAATAACAGAAGGCCCAACCATATTGGTCCTCGATTCCAAATATCCATAATTCTAGCAATCATGCTCTGCAATTCTTGTTCCAATTCCTCCTGCCACGACTACTTATGCGCACTGCATCGCAATGATGTCCTTGCCTGCACCAAGTAGAATGCCACATTCTACTTCCTTGAAGAGCTCCTATTCACCCACAGAAATCAAGATCAGGAACCAACTGTCCAAGAGAAAGATGCGAACTAGGAGAATTAGGTTCGCGTGTGGCTGCTGCCTGCTCGACCACAATGGATGCAATAAGGGACATCATGTTCTCAGCATTGATGCGACAAGGAAGTTATTCCTGGGAGTTCAGGAAAGATCCCCTCCATACATACATACATATACACATAGTATATATATGTATGTATGGATTTGAGTAGGCTCTAGTATGGTCTGGTATGAGTCTGAATTTGGATATGGATTATAGAAAATCAAATCCTACTAGAGCCATGACTCTTTTACAAGATTTGAATGCAATTGCAATACATATACATCACTAGCTAGTCCAAGACTACAATTACTACAATACTGTTATTATTAGAACGGTTTGTCTAATGGGTCCGTTAAAATATTTTTCAGGTATTATATTTTTGAAAATATAAGATTAATTAGGTAAAATAAATAAATACAAAGGGAGATATACAAGATTAAATAGAAAAATATATAAATACAAGAGAGAATAATAATTGTTAGTATGTATATATATATATATATATATATATATATATATATATGATAGATTAACTGAATAATAGGTGTGTTAACGAGCACCCTTAGGGCACCCGTTAGAAAAATCCTTATTAGAAAAGCAAGTAGTAGGCAAAAGCAAACAGCTTGCCAGTGCTAAAGGATGGAAAACAAAAATCCTTTCAGGTGTTATATTTTTGAAAATATAAGATTAGTTAGGTAAAATAAATAAATACAAAGGAAGATAGATAAGATTAAATAGGGAAATATATAAATACAAGAGAGAATAATAATTGTTAGTATTTGTGTGTGTATATATATATATATATATATATATATATATATATATATATGGTAGATTAACTGAATAATAAGTGTGTTAACGAGTACACTTAGGGCACCCGTTAGAAAAATCCTTATTAGAAAAGCAAGTAGTAGGCAAAAGCAAACAGCTTGCCAGTGCTAAAGGATGGAAAACAAAACGTATGCGGTGGAAGAAAGAAACAAATAAGAGAAAAAAAAGAGGAAGAGAATTAGATAAGCAACTTTCTTAGATTTTCCAATATTTTTGGTATTTTATGTTTAGGATATAAACAAAACTTGAAACATATAAACTCACTTAAAAACTAAATATGATTGTAAATATAGTGAAGGAGTTTTAGTCTAATTATTAATTAAGATATATTATTATTAGATTATATAAATATATATAAAATGTATAATATTTATTTGTATTAATTAATTTAAGCAAGGTATCCTACCCGTGCTCTGCACCATTACTCCCCGCCCCTATTGCCATCCTTTGGCCTTTTTTTTTTGGTGTTGACAAAAGACCTAATAGCTATGTCAATAGTTTTAGGCCTCTACCTATTAAGATTTAAAATTGATGAAGTTGGAGAACAAAAAGAAAAGAAGAAATAGAAAATAGAATGGAGAGAGAAATTTGTGAAAAACAATCTTGGAATGCGAGTATGTGTTTAACTAGAGAGCGCGTTGGATCTACTCATTTCTTGATTAAGCCAAATAAAAAATAGATAAGGTGAATAGATGCGCATAAAAATATGACTTTATTTCATATATATATATATTTATATAAGTACATGTATATGTGTATATAAGATGTGGCAAAATTTGGAACACATGGTTGACATAGATCGGATTTACCCAAGTGTTTGCCCCTGCCCCCACCCTCACCCTCACACACACACGATGTCTCCTAAACTTATGAAAGATGAAATATACCAAAATGACTAATTTTCTTTTTCTTCCCCCTCAAACCGAAATACCTTGTCAATGGTCAATGATCAACCATAATGAATAGACAACTTTGCCCACTGGTTAACAGTAATATGTAATTCATGTCATTCTGTCGATCACTTGTGGAGGGATTAAATTGGCTTAAAATAATAGTTGAAGGACCACATTTTGTAAAACTAAGGTTAGAGGATTAAAAGTGGTTTTTGTACAAAAGTTGGCCTATTATTTCATTTATTTCCCCAAGTTTTGTCATACTTGGGTTTTACAGAATTGGCCACTATAGACTAATTTAAAAAAAAATATGAGGAGTTTATTAAGTTCCTATACTGCCACAAACACTTCGGCTATCCAAGAATTGACTACAACTCTAGTTTTGTAAGTACGCCAAAAGTACGCATGGAGTAATATACAATTCGTACGTATAATTAAAAAAAAACTTCATTTTTTGTATGTTTAAAAAATTCTTTAGAAAAATACTTGTACTTTTCCCATGATCTTATAAAACTCGTAGGATCAACGATGGTGGCGTGATGTTTATTATTT